ACCGGGCACAGCATCGCCCAGGAGTGGGCACAGCACCGCCAGCACCGGGCACAGCATCGCCGGCACCGGGCACAGCATCGCCCAGGAGTGGGCACGGCACCGCCAGCACCGGGCATAGCACCGCCGGGACCGAGCACGGCATCGTCCAGGACCGAGCATCGCTGGGGAACGGGACCCGCGGGAGGCACGGGCAGGGGACGGGACGGGACGGGACGGGACAGCCGCTTACCATTTTCGCTCTCCACAGCAGTTTCATCCTCGATGCCTTGCCGGGTGCCGGTCCGGACGCGGCCCGTTGTGCCCGCCGCGGGCCGGGCCGGGCCCCGCCGAGCCGAGCGGCCCCGGGGCTGCGCGGGAGGGACGGGCCGGGGCGGGACGGACGCACAGGGGAAGGCGGCCGCGCCTGACCCCGCCTCGGCCCGGCCCGCCCAGGGCTTCCTGTTTATGGCCGCGGCTCCGCTCGCAGCGCTCTGTGCGCTCCGGGAATCCGCGCTCCGCACAGCGGGCACCGCGCCCTGCCCGGCTCCCGCGAAGCGCCTCCTCCTCCGCCCCCCATCCTTTCCCTCCTCCTCCTCCTCCTCTCCTGTCCATCCTCCTTTGCCGGTTCCCGGGCAGAGCGGAGAGGAGCAATCGTGACCGCGGGGTTGGCGCCGCCGTAAGGAAGCAATTTAAAGCCRATTTTAAACTTTAAAAACTTACTGCTACCAGTTGGGAAATAAGGAAGGATTTAGTAAAGGTCTTAGTGAGCCCTGCCCGGCAATCGCCCGCACTACCCTTACTTTGATTCCATATCGCTCACAAAGAAGCCCCTATGAGCCATGAGCACCTCTGTAGATGCTCCAGCTGCAGGCACACGCGTGCTGACACGAGGATCTCAAAACACCCTAAAAACCTACCTTAACTTGGTTGCCTCCTAGCTGTCTTTAGTTATCTGCTTTTTGGGACTTAAAATAGGGATGAGCCAAGTGCACAAATTCCCGTGGAAAGCAACAAAAGTGCTAAGCATTGAAACAGAGCTCAGAAACCCCGAAGATCCACACTAACCTCCAGCATATCCCTGTTTTTATTTCCACCGGTGTCAGTACCGCTGACGTGAGGAACAGTGCAGGCTCAGGGGCTGTCAGCACTCGCACCTCTTAACACGAGGAACCGYACAGAAGCAAGCAGCATTATTTTCAGCTACAAAACCCAGACTGAGCTGTGTGGTCTCAGGTACCCTGATCTGATCACTTGCCAGGCTGTGCTTTTTGTTATGTGTGTGATCTTAAAGTGATCCAGAATACACGGACTTTGATAACCTGACTCAAGCGTACTGCACCCCACAATTCAAAGTCTGGATTTCCCAAAGTCCCGTGGCTTCTCCTGTTAAACTACACATAGCATTCTGCACGCTTTAGATTTTGCAGATTGCTTTTCCACGTCATAATTTTAAGGTTCAGAAAGCGGARTGTTCAATGAATCCCTGGTGGCCGGCCCAGCAGGCATGTGAACAGCTTCAGAGCACACTGCCATTGAACAGGAACAACTTATYGGCATATGAAAATGGAATACAACACCAAAGCCAAATAATGACTCTGAAATAAAAGCTTCTTTGTGCCACGATGTCCTGGTGCTGCTGTAAATGCACTACCATGGCTTTGGATAGCAGTCACAAAGCAGTGRCACTGATTTCTCTTTCTTTAAGAGAAAGGAAATGGTGGTGAGACTGCAGTGGGAAGGAGTGTGTTTGATTCAGTTTAGCTTCTGTTGAATCACGTGTTTCAGAGTCCATCCTTACAGAACACCTATGGACACACAAGCTCGGGACTGTCCATTCGAGGCAGAGCACAAGCCCTCTCAGAAACTACATTCCTGAATCCCTGTGGCTGCTGACAAGTGGCAGAGAGAAGCTCCATCAGGAAGGAGCAGCAGATGACCTCATCCAGTTTAGCAAGCAGCAGAAATCCACCTTTTTTGTTAATTGGATTTGCCATCAGTCTTGCACAGAGTTAGATTTTTTTTCCCAGCTTATTTTTAGGGAGATACATTGCCCAGACTTTAGAACCATTGAATTGCTTAGGYTGGAAACAATCTCTAGTATCTCTGAGTCCAACCATGAAAGGTTACAAAAGGCACAATAATCTGTGCCTTTAATAACTGTCTGCCTTGGGAAAAGGATGTTTCAAGGCCCTTAAAAATCTGCCTTATATATGCAAACACTGGTTATTWAATAGCCGAAAAGAGGAAAAGCATATGTACCATTTAACTACATTTTAAGTCCATTATATAGTGTACAACCAATTATTTAGGACCAAGAGACAGAGTCCGAATGCACAAGGAAAGCTTGAAGACCAAGGAAGCTCTGATTAATCTAAAAGATGTTCTGCAAAGATTTCAAGGACAGAAGGAAGCCTGAGAGCAAGAAGAATCTGCAACTCTGTTTAGCAGAACTGCTTGTTTGCTCTTTTAGCAGCCTTTAATCACAAAACTGATCTACACCAATGAACCATGCGGTCAACGCTGCCGTTAAACATTTGGTTCTTTCCAAATCATGTTCACATGCAATAATTACATTCCTGCCATGATCAAGCCCTGTGCCTGCCCTTTCTACCGGAGCAGAATTGTTCCTCTAATACATCTGAGCATGCATTMCCTTCCCCCACAACAAGAGAGAAACGCAAATCCACTTGTGAATGCCACCTTACAATCCCATGGTGAAATGTTATATAAGAAAATCCCTTGAGGTCTGGAAAGCTCTCACACTGTAGATCACTGACCACTTACAGCCTGACAAGAGCTGGCCAACTGTCCACAGAGACATAAGGTAGTGGCAGAGTGATGATTTTCCCTGGTTTCAGCTGTTGGTACAGCTGGCACAAAAAGACAAAGCAAAAGACCTATAAAGCAGCTGGAAATAAAGAACAGCTTGTCTGGCTGCCTCTGCTTAGGGCCTGACTGGAGGAGAGGAGGCAACAGAAGTCAGAGATTCCCAAATATGGAAAACATTTGAGAGAGCAAAGGAAAAGGACAAASCAACCAGGTGATGTCAGAATGATCCCTGACAGCTCCTCCAGAACAGAATGGCATCACACAGCCCAACAGGGAAGAAGCCATGTACCTGAGGTGTGCATGCAGCTCACCTTCGCTGGGCAAGGATGTTCCCTGGGAGATGGGAAAAGACCCCACACACTGTCTCTCTTCTTTCTTAAAAAAAAAAAAAAAAAAAAAAAAAAACCTTAACA